CGGCTTGTGAAGGCTGTTGACTCGGAGCAGGGCCTAAGTACAAAGAAAAACAGGCGTCAGCTTCCAAACAAAAAAGATAACAGGCGTCCTGGAACTCAAAAACTCAAAAATATGCTAAGTATACCTCAGCAAGGACCCCTGAAATCCCATCAAGGTCAAGGGTGCCGGCACCCTGACCGCCTCCCTTTCAGATGGAGGAACTACTTTAACCATGGACTTGGCTACCTCAACCAAGTCAAGCCCCTGAGGGTCGGCTGCATTAAGCGAAAGGAAAAAACAAGTTAGACCTAGTCAAGAAGGAAGCAAGTGTGAAAGTTTTTACAAGTGATTGTCCATACTTCTAGGCGGCCCCGCCGGGGTTTTAGAAGAAGTGGCCGGCTGCTTCTCAGCCGCCACTGTTTTCCTGGAAGACCCAGGAGAGCTTGCAACAGTCGTCCTCCGGGCCTTGGGGTCCGGCTGTTGCGAGGAAGAAGCCCTTGGAGTGCCAGACTGAAAACAAAAAGAGTTAGTATATGCATAAGACAACTAAAAGAGGAAGAGTTTTCGAAGCTTACCAAGGGTGCCCCCTTGTTGGGGGAGTCGGCATAAGACTGTTGCATGAGCGAGGCCCGCAACATGGCCGCCGCAGTCTTGGATGCTGTTATTTTACTCATGGCGTCAGCTGCAAGAAATAAACAGCAAAGTTAGTAAAAATCCTAAGTAAACAAGGCGTGAAAAAACAGAGTATTTGTCAGGCCGGCTACCTCTAGAGCACCGACTGCTGAGGCCACAGGCGGCCAAAAAGTACTCGTCATAGAGCCACTTGAAGCTCGGGACGCAGTTTAGGGGTACTTGCTCTCGTACCCCTGACGTAGGGTTCACCCTAGTCTCTACTTTGAAGAGTCCTTTGTCTAGGATCTCTCTTTTAGCCTTTGGGGGAACAGGCGGCATGCTTCGGCCGCCTGCGAGAAGAGGCGGATCCCTATTCCACTTGTTAAAACGTTGGTTCAGCTCCGTGTCTGAACCCTCAATGATAAGGAAGGTGTTCCGCCAATCCTTCCATTTGTTCGCCTTACCTCTCGTCATGAGGTAACCCCTATGGCTTGTTAATTGGTACCAGCCGGTACCTCCCGACTTAGGGGTCCGGCTGAGATAGTTCATGTGGGCGAAAGCCTCAAAGCTTGGCTCCACCCCGTACATTTCGCACCCGGCCACATAGTCGAGTACGTTTACCCAAGAGTTGGGGACTAACTGCCATAACCCCAGATCATACCCATCTAAAATCCGCTGAACAACCGGATGTAATGGGAAGCGCAGTCCAGCTTTGATGGCCGCCACATAGCAGCCAAAGCAGCCGTCACCATAGCTGGTACCAGCCGGCCAGACGACAGTGTCTTCTGGATCTGGCACGAACAGTAAAAATTCCGGGCCCATTCTGTGGTTAGCAATAAAGCTCGCCACGTTGTCTTGCATGGTTGCGATCCGGCCCCGGGGTACCATGCAGTAGTAGGGGGCGTTTTCCTCTCTGTAAGAGGCGGACGGCTCCGCCCAATTGTCCCCCTTCTCAACTGCGTGAGAAAGTCTCGCCTCTTGTAGGCGGCTATGTTTTTCTTCTGAGCCTGGAGAACTGTGGCCAGAAGAGCTGGACTCGGACTCGTCCTCTGATGAGTCCGAAGAGGACGACTCCTCCCCTCTCCCAGAGGGGCCCGCCTCCTCTCCCTTAGAAGGGGCAGGAGGAAAATTAGACATGTCAACGGTAAGATGGGAAGGGACCACCTTGGCCCCTCTCTCAGAACTGTCGGCTTGGCAGTCGCCTCGTTTCAATTCTACATCTGGCGCCTGGTCAGATGTTTCACTAAGGAGCACCCTTTGGGAGGAGCCGTCTGAGTTTGATATCATAGCAGTCTGTTTCGTTCTGGCCATCACGTTCTGCATAGACACAGATACAGTCGGACTTTGTATAAAGGGCAAAGATGGGTCCAGAAAAGGGCAGGCGGCACTCCTAGTCCTAGATTCAGCCGTCCCCGGTGACCGGCTGATCACTAACTTAGGTCGTGTCGTGTGTTTCCGTGGTGCCATTTCAAAAAAAATAAAAAGAAAATTAAGAGTAAGAGAACTGAGTTACCTGAACGGGTGACGGTTGATGAAGTTCTGGAAGTCCGGTGCAATCGGCTTGTCAGAACAGGCGGTAGGCAGAAAAGGTCCGAAATGTCAGAGCAAGTTCAGGGGTCCGAATGTTCTCGCAAAGTTCTCAAATGTGAAAATGACCGAAGTCAGCACTTCCTTTTATAGGCAAGTGAGAAGGCGAAGGGTCGCTTCCAAATTCAAAATTTGGGCGGGAAAATCTCTCGGCCGTTTGCAAGGTGACACCTGTAGCAGGCCGTCGCCTGTCACCGTGCGACACCTGTCACAGGCGACACGTGACCAGTCACGTGCCACCTGTGAGGGGCAAATGATTAGGGGATTTTTATCCACCAATCACCGTCTGACAAGTGGACCAACCAGGTTCCGCCACGTGTCCTTCACGAAGGCCAATAGGAGCCTGCCACGTGTCAGTCACAGATACGTCCTCTACGGACCAATCGAGGCACGCCACGTGTCCACCCATGCCAAATGGGAAAACCGGCCATCAAGGCCCAATCCAGTCTAGAAGCCCGGTCAGCCCTAAGTTTACCTTAAACCTAGAGAGTGGCACGCTTCTCAAGGCTATAAATACTTAATTAATCCTCATTAGTTGAAAAATAAAGAGATCAAGCAGAGAAGAACAGAAATATTACGGAACACCAACAACCGGCTAATCTCGCTAACGACGCAGATTACCAACACTAAGCACTCTCACCTAGAGAGATCTTATTACTTTAATTTTCGTATTAATTACTCCTTAATCAGGTACTAACTTGACCGTTGGAGGCGGAGCTCTCAGGAGTCTCCGTTATTTTGCAGGTACAGGCGTCCGGTTCCAGTCTCGGAATTGTAACTCTCCCGCAGGACATCAGAAAACCCCGAAACACAAGGATCACAAAAAAAACCAATCACAAAATTCCCACAACAATCCGCAAAATCACCAACCAAGAACTTCAATATCCACATTTCACAATTCCAATCCAAATAACCAAACAACACCAAAAATCCAACAATTTTTTCCCACACAATCAACAATCACAAGAAGAACCACCAATACCACAATAGCACCTTACTACCCACACTACCAAAATTCAAATTCCAAAATTCTCAACAAAAAATTGCTCACAAATGCTACAAAATCAACAAACAACTCAAATAATCAACCAAAAACCAATATCAATCATCAAAATCATCAAAGTTTGTACTACCACTATTCATTCTCATGAACAAATCAAAACTTACAAATATATGACATAATTGAGCAATTAAAAGCTAGAGAAGATGATTATACCATATATGAAGCAAGATTGAACCACTTTTAACCACCAATAGCCACCAAATAGAAAAACCCCAAATTATACCCAAGTATAGATGAGAGAGATTGGAGGTTTAATTTGATGAAAGTAGTATGAATTTGATGGTTTGTATGGAAATGTAGAAGTGAATTTGGAGTGAAAATATGAGTGATTTGAGTTGAAATTTTAATGAGTTGTTGAAGGTAGTGGTGCGGTCTTGAGGGTTTGAGGATGATGGGGGTCGAAGCTATAAAGGAGGAATAAGGGGAAATGAAAGAAGAAAGAAAGGAAGGAAGATAAAGGGTGAAGCACAGGCTGATGCGCGCCCGCACCAACTAGATGCACGCCCGCACCAGCCAGGTGCGCGGCCGCACCAAGTGCGTGGCGACCGCAGCTGAGCCTAGCCTAGCTCTCTCTTCTTCTTTTTTTTAGGTTTTTGGTGCGTTCATTTGGTGGGTTCACAAATAATGATGATGATAAACACCAACATAGGCAGTAGCAAAATCCCGTTTTAGTGGGTTTAAAACGAGAATTTCAGGAACCCACCATAAGAACCCACCAAGTGCAAACTTCCTTCAACTTTAAAGCATAAAATCCCTAACTTACCTCACCAAGATTCTTACCCTTTTACCTCAAATTTCGATAAAATCGAGTATAATCACATCAAAAACCGCAAAACACCTTCTCATTCTTCATGCTCACTTAATGAAATCTAATCCCAAAAATGCAACCTACAAATCCAATCAAGTAGAAAAGTGAAAGAAAAGAAAATAAAAGAAGGAAAAATAAGAGAAATTCAAAAATCAAAAAGAAAAGTTAGAAATCTCCGGGTTGCCTCCCGGGAAGCGCTTGCTTATGGTCCTAAGCTCGACCCTTCCTCCAAATCATGGAGGGTCAAAGAACACCACCTTCTTCAAGGCAGCAGAAAGAGCAAATTCTTTTTCAACTTCTAGCAACCTCTTGTTGTTGCTGCTTGATGAAACTTCCTTCAAAGACTTTTCAATTGCAAATTTTTCTTTCCGTAACTTCTTTCACTCTCTCTTCTTCTTAGAATCATGAGCTTTTTTATTTGGGTTGTTTCTTATTATAGATGGTTTCTCACCATCCATACTCATGGAAACATCCTCTCCATCTTGAGGATAGAGCTCAAACCAATGAGGGATTTCAACTTCCTCCTCGCCCGTTAGCTTGGGAATCATCATTTTCTCTTCACTAACCTTCTTGCCATCAAAACTTGAAAGAACATCATAACAATTCTCAAGAACATCGTTAGTTGAAGAATTAATCATGCACACATTATCAATAGAGCGAGGGGAATTAGCACACATAATTCCTTGCACAAGAGACAAAGACTCATGCATTGGTTTCAACTCAAAGCTTTCCTCTTTCTTACCAACACTAGTGGAAAAAATCTCATTCGTAACAGGCTATTCGTAACGGGCAAAGCTTTGCTCGTTACAATTAAGATATTCGTAACGGGCAAACTAGTGTCCGTTACGAATACTACTTATTTATTCGTAACGGGAAAAACAATGTATTCGTAACGGACACTGTTTTGCCCGTTACGAATACTATATTACACGTAGATGACCAAACATGGCCCAACTAATGAGAGGAGAGCCCAATACTCGGCTTTTTAGGTTTTCACTTAACTGCCGTCACACCTCTTTCTCTCTCATCAGTCCCTCACTCCCTCTCTCTCTCCTCTCCTCTCCTCCCCTCTCCGTCATTCACCTCTTCTCTTTCTTTTCAAACTCAGGCCCTCTCATTTCGAGGAGCAACGAGAAGACCTTGAGCAGCGATTGCGTTCATCTTGAGACCGGCGGCTTCATACATTAACTCCCAAGCGGCGTCGATTTTGGGCGGAGGTGTAACCGGCGATGACGAACAACCTAGCCCGTAGGCTTCTTCCTCTTTAGATCTAAGTCGTTGAACGAACCGATGCTAGGTAAGATTATTCTCTTTGTAATCATCGAATATTAAGTTAGTTGATTCAACTTTATTTTTTAAAATTTATGTTGTTTTTAATTGATTTTAGTTTCTGGGTACTGGATTTTTAGTGATTTGGGATGAAATTCAATCAGATCTAATGGAGGAAAATAGATTTGATTAGAAAAATATAATAATTTGTAATATTTTTTAATAAAAATTGTTAACTGGGTTTTGTAGGTTTACCCTCTATTTGCATCGGTTGGTGTAGCCGTCGGAATTTGCGGGTTTCAGCTCATCCGGAATATTTGCGGCAACCCAGAAGTGAGGTATATCTTTCTCTCTAATTCAATTTCTTGATTTTCCTTTTAAATTCTAAATAGAATTATTAATATAAAGCGGGATTCATAATATTATTATTAGGTTTAATTTATCTAAATTGATTTCATTAGGTTGTTTTGATGTGTAATTAAAATCTTTGTATTATTGTGGTAGTTTTAAATTAGGTTTTAAATTCGAGTGAATAAGCAATTTGAGTTGTTTATTGTTGTAAGGTAAAATATGGTGGTTTATCTCGTACTTGTCGATCAATTGTGTGAAAATTAAGGGATTATACAGAAGCTCGGCCAAATTGTGTGAAATTGGATTTGTTTCAGGCATGTGTGAATGTTTTGACATGGAAATTTTCAGTTGATTAGGTTGCCCTGCTCTTGAACAGAGCAATGTCAATTTTCTGGTTGAATTTTTCATTCTGTAAGTGATTGTTTGTGTGAATTTTTCATTAGATCTGATTGAATTTCATCCCAAAGATAGAAGGGGCATGAGCTTCAAATTGTTGCCACAAACTTTAATCAGTATATCAAGATCTTCATCAGGTGGTGTAATGGTGCTTGTATTATTATTTTAATCTTCATTGTCATTTAGTTGGCTGCTGCAACTAAATTTGAATACACAAGCACTAAACTATGCCCTTGATCAGTCCAGTACAATGTGTATTAATACCTTATGCTTGTATTTCATCTGAGTGAAAGTTATTGCTTTTATTGATATTGATATCAGTCTGTAGAGTTTTGTAGATTTACCCTCCATTGTCTATTTTTCTGTGGTCGAGAAGTGGTATTACTTCTGCTGCTAGAATATGTGCTCTTGTCGTCCAAATTTGAATGTTATTGTCCAATATGTCCTGTCTTTTTCTTTGCATTTTTGTTTTCTCTGAGATTGATGCATCCTGTGCAGCAATGTGTTTACTGATTAATAAACATTGCCTTGGCAGAACGGAAAAGGCAGAAAACTAGTAACTCAATTAACCGGAGTAATAAATTGAGGGATTTATACCATCAAGTTACAATTTGCTCCATAGATCTTTTACCAATTCAGAAGTGAATTTTTTGAGGCACATTCAGAATTGAATTTTCCCATCCCTAAGTAATGATAATCGAAGTATGAAAACAGATTAACAGATGTTGAGCGATGATTCAGATGTATAAGTTTGCTGGAAGCCTCGTAGCAAAAGTATATGTGTCTTGTTTTGCTGTCTTTGTGAATTTAGTGATTTGTTTTCTTTTGTTGGAGTATAATCTGTTATGTTTGTATGGGCAACAGGTAGCAATCCTATTGATGTTACGGGTTCATGTTGGGAGATGTATGTCATTGTTCATAAGATAGCTGACCCAGAGGGAGACCAGAGTAGATTGCTATAAACAGCTCTAGATATGAGCAAGATACAGTTTAACAAGGTACTTCGTCAATGCCCCATAATTTGCTGCATCATTGCTAATTACCCTAGATGTAATATCGTATTGTTGTTTTCATGAATTTAAAATTCATAGTTAAACAAAGTGATGAAAGTTTTTGCCATGTGATTGCTGGAAGGCATGCATTTCTTATACTGAGAAAGTACTCAAAATTTTGCATTTATCTTGTCGTGCAGGATGTTGGGCAAGCAAAGCGGCAAAGCTACTCAAGAGTTTTGGAGAGCTTAGCATTTACATTATGGCTAGACTAGACGATTTATTATTTTAGGTAGTCTTATGTAAACTTGTTTAATTATTATTACAATGATTTGTTTTTGCTTTGTTTTAGTTTTAGTTATTAGGAAATAATTAAAGCAGCTTTTCTTGATTGTATATTATTTGGTAATTATTAAGTGTATACTGTACTTGTATTATCTATATATATATATATATATATATATATATATATTTGATTTGATAAAATAATTTTTCAAGCTAGTTGTCCAGCCATGTGCTGGATTTTTTTTTTTAATTGGATCTCATAGTATTCGTAACGGGCACCTGAAAAGCCTGTTACGAATAACCCATTATTTGTAACGGGCATCTGAAAAGCCCGTTACGAATAATGAGTTATTCGTAACGGACAGTGCCCGTTACGAATAACAATGGCCATCCGTAACGGACGCATACATAACGGACGCTGCCCGTTACGGATGGCCCCTTTTTGCCCGTTACGGATGAGGATTTTTCCACTAGTGCAATTCTCAAGGTAATACGGCCTCCTTTCACATCTATTAAGGCTCTCGAAGTGGCTAAGAAAGGTCTTCCTAAAATGATAGGGATATGGTCATCATCCGCAATCTCAAGCACAATGAAATCAACGGGAATAGTGAACCCTCCTATCTTAAGAGGAACATCCTCAACTCTCCCCTTTGGAATCATAATAGTCCGATCGGCCAATTGAAGGGTTATTTAAGATGGGAGTAGCTCACCTAGCTCGAGTTTCTTGAAAATAGAATAAGGCATGACGCTCATACTAGCTCCAAGATCACAAAAAGCATTATAAACATATTCCTTTTGATCTCACATGGAATAGAGAAGTTTCCCGGATCCTCCATTTTCTAGGGCAACTCATTATGAATGAAAGCACTACAAAAACTCCCAACTTCAACCGAATCAACTTCATTGCACATTCTCTTCCCACTCAAAATCTCCTTAAGGAACTTAGAATACCTAGGCATTTGAGTAATTGCATCGGTGAAGGGGATAGAAAGGTGAACTTCCTTGAGCATAGCAATAAACTTTCCAAATTGTTCATCAATTTTATGCCTCAAGAATTTTTGTGGGTATGGAAGGTCGGGTCTCCGCACTTCCTCACGCTCTTTCTCACTACTCCTTTTTTTTCTCTTGCACCTCCTCATAACTCACACTCTTATACTCAACCTTCTCAACTTCTACTCTTGGGTCACTCCTCTCCTCTTCCTCCTCAATGGACCTAGAAGCTCCCTCATTAAGAACTCTCCCACTCCTAGTGGTGATAGAACAAACGGGTTTCTTAGGTTCCACTCCTTGAGAAGGCAAAGAGGATGGACTAGCACAATCCTTTAGAGTGTTGGCTAGTTGGGTTATTTGTGTCTCAAGCATTTTGTTATGAGTCATCATCTCATTAAATTTCATCCAAATTTGTCTTAAATGATGATGGTTGGGAATAAGAATTTTCACCATTGCCTTGAGGCTTTGGAGCAAAATCGGGTGTGGGTCCCCTTTGGTTGTTATTTTGAAAACTTCCCCGATTTTGGTTGTTGTTCCACTTGCTGCGGCCTTGATTATTGCCACCATTATGGTAATGATTACCAAAGCCTTGAGATTGACTTTGGTTACCATACCCATGGCTCGGGTTTTGATTACTATAGCCTTGGTTGTTATAGTTACCTCGAAAACCTTGGTTTCCTTGGTTCCTATAGCCTCCATTGTTGTATTTATCGAAACCACCTTGGGGGTGAGAATTCCTATTACTAAAATTTTTAGGTCCATCAAATCTTTGACCACCATTGACATTAGACACAAAGTTCACATGTTCACATTCATTAATTTCAACATCATCACATCCATCAACAAAAGTTTGAGAACACATGGAAGAATCATGATCATAAGATCCACAAGAATCACAAAATATACAACCGCTTGGCATGTTATTGGAAGTAGAAGGAGAAGAGTTAGAAAATGTACCTCTCCCTTTAGATTGGGAGGGAAGACTCAATGAATTCGTAGAAACTACTCTCAAGCTTTACTTTGATCGACGTCACTTCCTTCCCTAGATTTGAAATTTGGGAAGACAAGTTGTTAATCGCATTGAGATGATCCACCGAATAAACCGTCGAGCCACTCTTGCTCGTAGACTCCCTCTTTCCTTCTTGCCAATCTCTATAGTATCTCACCACATCCTCAATTATGTCAACTACCTCTTCTTCCGTCCTATTCATTATAGGACCTCCGGCTCCTCCATCTAGGCAAGTCCCATGACTTGCCTTGAGCACTCAAGCCTCCATAGAAAATTTGTATCACCTGGTAGGTAGGAATTCCATGATGTGGACACTCTCTTTGGTACTCCTTGTACCTCTCCCATGCTTCATAGAGATTCTCATTAGGCCTTTGTTTGAATCATTGGATCAAGGCTCTAGCCTCCGCCGTCTTCTTTTGTGGGTAAAAGCGAGACAAAAAAGCTTTGGTGACTTCATCCCATGTCCTAAGAGAATTTGGCTTAACCTCCTTATCCAACCACTCTAAGGCACGATCAATAAGAGAAAAGGGAAACAACTTTAGCCGAATAAACTCTTGAGAAATGACGTTCACCTTGATAGTATTACAATACTTCTCAAATTCCTTTAGGTGATTCAGCGGGCTCTCACTCTTGGCTCCACTAAATTGCCTCCTTTCTATCAAAGTAATCATGGTCGGTCTAATTTCAAAATTGTTCGCCGGTGTTGTAGGTGGAGCAATGCCACTCTCAAACCTATAAGCACCAGGAATTCCCAACTCCTTCAAAGCTACTCTTGGATTCTCTCCCATGGCTTGCTCTTCTTCTTCCTCAAATTCTTTTTCACTTGAGGAACTTAGGCTCAAAGACCGGTTGGCTACACTTCTTCGTGAAAGAGTTCTTTCAATTTCCGGATCCAAAGGAACTAAGGACCTAACACGAGTTTTACTATGCATGCAAAAGCTCAAAAGAAATTGTTAGTAAAACGGCTACAAGAGTAGCCTAAAAGAAAGAAGAAAAATATTTTTGTATTTTTGAATAAGATGGAATAGACTCAACAACAATACAAAATCACACCATTCCCCGGCAACGGCGCCATTTTGACGCGGGTTGAGACTAGATCGTTGAAACTAACCCCTACCCGAGGCCAAACAAAATTTGTAAACACTCAACACACCCCTACACAAGTATAATGGTAAGTTGAGGGTCGAACCCAAAGGAATGGTGGGCGATTATCTTCTATTGTCTATATTCAAGCTATTCCGAATTGTAATGATTGGGTGTGAATGTTATGCTAGGACAAAGACGACTAATAAACAAGAAGAAATCAAATGTAATAAACACTAGGGCTAGGATCCACATGTAATCATAACGGATTCAACTAATTGGGAGGTCAAATTGACTAAGTCAAGCAATGTGAGGGAAAATCAATCATGCAACCAAAAGAGCATATCAACCTATTCTCCTAGAGGTCTAACTAGCGTCAACTACGATAAACTCTAGCTAGGAAACATCACAAGACACCTCAATCGTGTAAATGCAAGCCACAAATCAATGGTCCGTATCAATGTGAACTTACAATTCAATCTAGTGCAACAATCAAAGTTAGCTACTCTTTAATTAATCACACACATGCACATGATCATCAACCAATTTCATCACATAGTCAACTCCATCAATTTTCCCCAATTAGCTTTAATCCATTACTAATACATGCTTCACCATTACCCTAGCAAGCTATCTACTCACTAGCCATTGAAATCAAAATCAAAACAACACTAAGCAACAAATTCATCATGATCAAATCAAACAAGCTAAAATCAAACACAAATCAATCTTCAATCAAACTTGAACATTCAACAAACAATTGAAATCAAACTAAAGATTGAATTAAAGAAAAGGAATCTTACTATCTTGATCAAAGATCAAAGGAGTTAAAGAAAGCTTCAATCATCAACAATCCACCATGAATTTCTCTCACTAAAACCTAGAGTTTCTCTTTCTAAAAATCTCTCTAATTTGATCAAAAACTAATTCTAATTTTGTTCTAATTCTCCTCTCCTCCTCTCCTAAAAAAGAAGGGAAAACTATATATAGGAAAGATACAAAAGAAGAGTTAGTTAGATCGTCCCAAAAGAAACCCCGGAAGGCGCGGTCGCATCAGAGGAGAGCCGCGGCCGCGGGAAAAAGGGTACGGAACAGGGGCCCTGGCAGGCTCGCCCACACCCGCACTAGGCGCGCCCGCGCCACCTAGGTGCGCGGCCGCACCACCCTCGTGCGGGCCCGCACCTGGCAGCAGGGGAGCCCCTCCTCTTCTTCGTCCAAGCTCATCCTCGTGGGCTCATCTTTATGATGATGATGAACACCAAGGAAGGTAGTCTTGAAAGGGCCATTTTGGTGGGTTCATGGCAAAGATGACGCCCCCACCGCATATGTGCACCGATCTCTTGACTTGCTCTTTGCGTTCCTTCACACTTGAAGCTCCGAAAGGCGAACATGAGGCATCCAAATTGATGAGAAATACGAGAGGAAGGCTCGGGAATCCTTGGAGACACGATCATAACCTAAAAACAAACGAAAACAAACAAATAAAAGGGAAAAAGAACAAATAAACAAAGAAATGCACAAAACAAGGAAACTAACTATGGAAAGCACAAACTAACGAAATAAAGAACAAAACTAAGGTAAAACTAAGGAAAAGGGCTATAAAGAAGCATGAAAATCATCCTAAAAGAGGCCAAATGAGTGCCATAAATGACACTCATCAAATTCCCCCAAGCTAAACTTTTGCTCGTCCTTGAGCAAAACAAAGCAAGAAAGAATAAGGATGAAAGACTTATTTAAAAAGAAAAAGAAACACTCAAGAAGAGAATATACACTAAGACTCACTATCGTAGGAATCACGGTTGTTTTTAGCTACAACAAGCCATTTTAAACCCCTAGATCGCCCTAGAGGACGAGTAATGCTCTCGTAAGGGTATCCTAAGAGTTTACCCATAACTCTCCCCCAACATCCAAGAGGCAAAACCATAAAAAGAAAAGAAAAAGGGAAAAAGGGAAAACAAAACCTTTGCGAAATGGACTTACAAAGAGACTACAATGCAAATGAATGAAAATCTTTCTCAAGTAGTCAAGGTATACACGTTCCAAGATATCCAAGG